GCTATATTGAGTTACGATAGACTTGTTTCTTAATATTGAATGACAATAGACTTGTTTAGATTCGGATAAGCGTACTGGTAGATTTAAAAAATTAGCGGCATGGTAGACTTGTTGTGGTAGGTGGTAGACTTACTTATAGTAGTGGTAGATTTACAATATGTGGTAGACTTATTTGTAGTAGTGGTAGATTTATAATATGTGGTANACTTATTTTATAGTAGTGGTNNACTTATTCAAAAAGGGTAAAATCGTAATTTACCGTTCATCTTCTCCACCAACCCAAAAGCTGTCAAACGACAACAATGGCGGCCAACAACTTTTTAGCTCGTTTTTACTGCATTTTAACTTGTTTCCAACTGGGTTTAGCCTAAAACTAGTAGATCTAACATCATATATCTTTTTCTAATAAAAAATCAAAAGATTTTGAGTTTTTTTTTTCATCTTATGATTTTTAATCCGATTTTATCTCAATTCCGGTGCTTCCTCAGCCTCCACACCTCCGCCGCGCGCGTCTCCGGTGCTTCCGCAGCCTCCGCAACCGCTTCAAACAAATTCTTCATATTTTTTTTTTAAAGTCAAAATGACATTTTTGTAATAACAAAACATAACCTTGGTTTATATGTCTTTTAAACTCTTTCTTAGTATTTTGATATTTTGTCAAGACTATTCTAATTATTAGTTCATTTATCAAGTCTATTCTAGTAATTAATCCTAAATAAAATTTACGCATTATTACAATAGAAGAGAAGAGAGTAATATATAGGATATGAAATCAATATTTTTCACTAAATTTTGCATTTCATTTTTCTTGACTTGGACGATCGAGGTTTAGAATCGGCATCTGCCTCGCACTCGCACATCGCATAAATGATAAATCAATCTCGTTTTAAACATTTATGTGAAAAGAATTTTGACCATTATTGATTTGTGCTTTATATATATCGGTCAAAAAACAAAAATATGCTACAAGCCAATAAGATTTCAAAACTTGCGCAATTGGTACTCTTCTTGGATTGAATGCTTTCTTCTTAATCAACTCTCATCCATAATCTTAACATCTAATAATGATTGTCAACGTTTCGTGGTCCCAATACTTATAGATATGAAAATAACTCAAACCAACTTTACTTAAAATCTTAATACGATTTAGATAAGTCCGATAAAATATTGCAATACTACAAATACAATGAACTTGCTTGGTGATTCACAACATCATTCTCCGGATAAGATCTGTCTTCCATAGTAGAAAACAAAAGTATGGAGATTAATCTCATGTGTCTTTAATTTTTTTTCACTAATATCAGGGTTTGTGAGTTAAACCAGTCATAGACAAAAGTGACAAGCTTTGTGTTGTAGTTGAATAATAAGAAGGTGGATTGTGTTTTCCCATTTCTACCCATGCAATAGAAGTTTTTCATTTTTCATAAGCAACGATATGTAATTCAAAATTTCTATTAAATTGTAGTCACTAATACATAACTTATACGGTTGAACCCGTGCCATTAAATATTATTTTTGACTAACTAAAAAGAGTCAATTAATTATACACATAAATCAAGAAATACATTAGGCTATAAATCTAAAAACATACTCCCTCCGTTTTTAATATAAGATGTTTTAGAGATTTTTTTGTTGAGAAATTTTTAAAAATGTCACTTTTCAAAATTTCATCTTTTCAAAATCTTTGCAAAAATGCCATTTAAAAAAAAATTATTATATCATTTATGTTCGGGTTACCTATGTTGTATTAGAGTTTAGTTTTGAGGGTTTTAGGGGTTTTAGACACCAAATCAGTT